TTAAACGTGTGTAGACGACCCATGGGACCCAGTGCTCAGAAGAGCCCTATGCTTTGTTTAATGCTCTGTGATCACCATCTTGAAATACTTAATTTTTACATTAGAGGGCCCACATTTGCATTTGGCATTGGGTTCCCGAAATTGCTTAGCCATTTATGGATCAAAGATAAATGATTTTGGTTGTATCTGAGTAGAGATAAGCAATACTCAATTTGTTCTATACTCTTCTACATGTAACTACCACGTCCAAAGCTTTGCCCACTTATCTTGATTTTCAGTGCCACCCGATAATCCAAATTACCATTGCTTTTCCTGATATTACAGAAATAACTAATATTAGGCAACACAGACTTTCCTAGTGATAAAGCAGGACATTTCAGGGTGATAAAAGAGTGAACCCATTAAGAAGATATACCAAATAAACAAACAATAGATGCACCTAACAGAATTGAAAGCAAAAGTAAACAATTCAACAATAGTACTTGAAGACTTCAATATTCCTCTTTCAATAATGGCTATAAAAACGAGGCAGACAGTCAACAAGAATATAGGAGACTTAACCCTATAAACCAACTAGGCCCAATGTACATTTACAAGACACCCTGCCACCACCAGCAGAACGCACATTATTCTCAGGTGCACATGAAATATTCCCCAGGGTAGACCGTGATCCGGATCACAAAACAAGCTCCAATAAACCTGAAAGGATTGAAATTGTATAAAGTATGTTGTCTGGCCACAATGGAATAAAACTAGAAATCATTAACGGAAAGAAATTTGGAGAGTTCACAAGTATGTGGCAATTAAACACCGTTCTTCTCAATAACCATTGGGTCAAAGAAGCGACAGAGGAAATTAGAAAATACGTGGAGGTGAATGAAAACAAAACCACAACATACTCAAACTTATGGGATGCAGACACAGCAGAGCTTAAAAGGGAGTTTATGGCTGTAAATGCCTATATGTGAAGAGAAGAGAAGACTACAAACAAACAACTTTTCATCTTAAAACACTAGGAGATAAGAGCAAGCTAAACTTAATGTAAGCAACAGGAAGGAAAGAATAAATATGGGGCTAGGAATCAGAGAGAACGGGAAACAGCGGAGGAAATCACTGAAATCAGAAGCTGCTTTTTGAAAAGATGGAGACATCTGACAAAACGTTGGCTAGTATATCACCAAGAAGCAAAGGGAAAACACTAAATGACTAGATTTAGAAATCGCAGAGGGGCATCACTACTGACCTTCCAAAAATAAAAAGGACTACGAAGGAATACTATGAACAACTGTGTCAGTAAATTAGATAATTCAGTTGAAGTGGACATATTCCTGGAAACACAAACCACCCAAGTTAAGACGAAACAGACAAAATAAGTAAATTTTATAACAAGTAAAGAGGTTGAGTGAGTAATCAAGAGATCTCCCAGAAAAGCCCAGGCACAGATATAGTCACTCCTGAATTCAATGAAACTTTTAAAGTATGTCAATACCTCAAAAACTCTTCAAAAAAAAAAAAAAAGATGTAAAATAATGTTTTTAGGAAAGCATTCCACCTGCAATAGCATCACAAAGGAAAATATTTAGCAATAAAATTAATTTTAAAAAGTGTAAAGCTTGTACTATAAATACTATGAGACAGAGCTGAGAGAAATTTCAAGAGTGAAATAAACTTAAGACATATGATCAGTCTGCTTTTCCTCAAAATGTTAAACTCAGAGTTACCACATGTATGAACCAACAATTCCACTTCTAAGTATATACACAAAACATTGCATATATGTGTGTGTGTGTATATATGTGTATGTATTATATATGTATATACATATATGACACATGCACACACTTGTAAAAAATAGAACATTATTTGGCAATAAAAAAGAATGAAGTATTGATACATGCTATTACATAGATGAGCCTTGAAAATATCATGCTAAGTGAAAGAAGCCAGACATAAAAGCTAACATATTGTGTGATCCGTTCATTTATATGAAATGTTCAGGCTAGGAGAATTTTTGGAGACAGTATGTTAGTGCTTACCGGGGATGATCACTTACTTCAGTACCTGCATCCATTATCAGATTATTAGCTCAGTAGTTTACAATGTGGACTCTGATGTCATTGCCTGTGTTCAAATCCTGGATCCTTAATAAAGAGGGACTTTGGGCAAGTCACTCAACCTCTCTGAGCCTCATAATACAGGTTTCAGTCATGTTAGAAAAAAGAACTATTGCCTAGGCATTATTTTTTAAAGTGGGGGTAACTTCAATTTTATAAAAATTTCCTCCAAATTGCATGACATAGCTCATAAGACTGTGTAAGGATTAAAAAGAGATTACACTGAAGGACTGAATAAGTAGTAGTTATTAGTTTATGTTAAATTAATAGACGAATAATTTTTTTAAATCTAGGTGACAAAAATTTTTGTGTCAATAAAATCTTTTGTGAATACATTCTATCTACTGCCACCCCTCCCTTTTCTTGATTTGGTGGTTACGTTCTGAACTATACTAGTTCTTACTTCTTATGTAATATATTTTTTAAAAATATTAGAGTTTCCAGCTTTATTAGGCTAAAAGAATGCTTAGCTTCTGCTTATGTTTTCCTTTTCTGAGCTTAGATTTGCTCTTCCCTGCTGATGTGCTGTCCAAATAAAAATAAGGCTTGAAAGGAGCTGAGAAGGCTCACTAGCTTTTGAAAAACTGAATATACACTTGAAACTAAATTTCTTTCCAAAATAAGCTCCTTCATTTTTTTCCCTTCCACTTGACGCTCCACTTTTTTTTTTAAGCTGGAAGGCACCTGATAGAGACTAAAGCTCAGAGACCCTGTCCTTAGAGGACCTTTCATTTTAAGGCAAACCGAAGAGCCCCAGCCTTCCAGCAGGATCGCTCTGGCACACATAGAGCAGATTTCCAATATTGTAAAGGTATTGACACTATAATGCAGTTTTCTCTCAAATATATTAAAAGTCCACTAAGCCTAATTCAACTTATAGAATTAAAATTACTTTGTTTTCAGGCATTTTCAGTGGAAGAAGAAGAAATATCAGTTCTCACTGTTACTACCAATACAAATACAAGACTCTGGAGTTTTTGCTTAAATTCAATGATTTTACACCTGTATCTATTTGGCCCCCGCTGAAAATCCCAACTTTCACTGATATCAACATAATTATAAACTTGCTTTAAACTACAATACACAGACAACAGTCCCAACATAATAATATGATTACTGAAAATAATTTAAGGTTTTATCATATGCTCACAGGCTCTGGAGTATGATTTTTGAGATCATTTGGAGAAGGTCCTTCCTCTCTCTGGGGCTATGGCCAACCACTCATTAAACACATGAAGTTCATTTGCATTGTTTTTCTTTCAATATTAGGGATTCTTAAAATCAACTTCTTTCCTAATTATGTAAATTGTTCCAAAGTTAAATTTACAAAACAAAGTATAAAAAACCAAGTGCTATCTAAGCAGAGGATTCTGGCTTGTATTCCTTTCTCCACATCATTATCTCCCATCCCTGCATCTATGTCAACCTTTGAAAGAAATTATATAAATCCTTAATGAATATTAGCATATTATAAGTACTTTAAATATGCATTTTCATCACCTGGACTATATAAAGATATTTTTCATTACTTTTTATAGCTGCTTGTCACTCTCCTGTTTGTATGCACTATAACTGAATCAAGTAGCCATCTATTGCTGGACATTTTAATTGGTAACCTTTTTTTTGCATTTATAAAAAACACTGCAATGAATAGCCTTGTACATGTCTTTTTGTATTTTTGCCAGTGTGTCTTTGAGATAAATTCCTAACAGGAGATTCCTAAAGAGACTGCTTGGTCAAATGGTAAATGCATATGTAATTTTGCTAGATATTATCAAATTCCACTCCGACTTTTTGTATTTCTACAAGCAATACATGAGTACTCATATCTTCTACAGCCTTTCAAAAGGATACTGTGCAAACATTTGGATTTTTGCTAATCTGACAGAAGCTGCATTTCTCTTACGAGGCACCAGTGAGTTTGAGTGACATTAACTGTATGTAAGGGACATTTACATTGCTCTCTCTGGGAATTGTGCATTCACATTTCTAGCCTTATTTTTTAATGTATTATTTTGGGTATTTCATTATTTTAGAAGACTCTCAGGTCTTGGCCTGTTAATCCTGTGTAGTAGCTAATAATTTTTACATTTTATTTATTTTTTTGCTTTGCGTAGGATGTGTTTTGTCATACAAAAGTTTTGTGTGTGTGTGTAATGAAACTCATTTTTCCTGGATTTTAAGTATAGTTTAGGAAAGCTTTTCCTAAAACCCAGTTATAAGAAATTCACCCATGTATTTTATTCCTAATATATGTGTGGCTTTGTATTACACTTTCAGAATTCATTCTGGCATATAAGCACAAATTCCTAAAAATTTACCAAGCACGAGCCAGTGTGAGCTAGCTCCGTACACCATTCACATTGCTCGCTGGTTTGCCATAGTCATTGACAAGCTATTGGCTGGAGAGCCATGGGTTGTTCCTCTGTGTGGCCTCAGTGTGGGTGTTCTTAGGCACAAGGGCAGTGTTTATACATTTCATCAAGTCAGTAAAGTCCCTGGGCCTCAAATTTTCCAAAGTAAAAACTTCAAACATTAAGAAAATGTGTCATTTTCTTGAAGAGTGGTACATTACAGCTTTGGGGGAAGAATGGATAACTAAACTACTTGGTTTAAACAAAAGGGCTATTTCTCCAGTTGAGAATTTTTTTAGTATGAAACAGCAGTCATTCAGCTGCATCAGAGCGCGGCTGCTTCTAGAAATGGCAACAGAACAGAGAGATGTCCTTGTAGGGAGGTGGTCCTTATGCATTGAACAGTCTTGTTCCTAGCAGACTGGCGCTGCCTGTTGCTTGTGACAGTATATTCATTTTCTTCTCTCGGGTTTAGAGAATTGACTGCCCCCAAATGGACACACAAAACACACACTATATGATACAGACTCACCACTGCTGGAAGCATCGTTCAGGTTCAGCAGGCCCCCTCCGAGCCCTCTGTAACTGTGGTAACTGTAGGTCCCGTTGCCGTTGATGTACAACACCTCCGGTGAGCCTGAGACCGCGGCGGCCGAGTAAGTGGCCTGCGCCGCCTCTGGCTTACACTGTTTGTCAGCTGGAGCGGGCTTGTCCTGCAACGAAACAACGTCCCATTAGTTGTCAGCCCCTTGTGCTGTCTCACCTTAAACGGGGCTATCTTATCATTAGCTACATGTCTTCACTGAACAAGAAAAAATACACACTGGTCAATATTAAGTCAGCACATATGCACATTTTCAGTGACTTTGCTAAAAACTAAAAAAAGCAAAGCAACAATATGAGACACATTGGAGATGGAACAATTTACATTTTCCAGCTGAATATAAAGTTATATGAAGAGTTGTTCACAATAGCCAAGAGGTGGAAGCAAGTTAAATGTCCATTGACAGATGAATAAAAATATGGCATGTAAATACAACGGGATATTATCCAACCTTAAGGAAAGAGGGAAACCTTGCCATATTCTACAACATGGATGAACCTTGAGGACGTAATGCAAAGTGAAATAAGACAATCACAAAAAAAAAGAACATTGCATAATTCCACTTGTGTGAGGTATCGCAAGTAGTCAAACTCATAGAAACGGAAAGTAGAAAGGTAGTTGCAAGGAGACGGGGTTGGGGAGGTGGGGAGTTGCTCGCTGGGTATAGAGTTTCAGTCATGCAAGATGGGGGTAGTTCTGGGGAGTCTGTTAGACAACAACTTGCCCGTGGTTGACGATATTGCACTGTACACTTGGAAATTGTTGGGTGAATGTTACGTTAAAAAATTTTCAAAATAAATAGCTAGGCTTAAAATATTACATGAAGATAAATTATAATTTGCAAGAAAATATTTGCAAAAGTTGGCTTTCTTGAAATCTTTTTTTTGCAGCCAGCTCTTGCTCATGTGCTCACTCTTTCCCCTAATTTGTCCCTCTCCCAGTTTCTATCTCCCCTTCTTCCCTCCATTCTTGCCTGCCTCTCTCTATTTTATGATTATAGCAAAACTTATTCTTTGCTGACTAGGCCCGTTACACACATCACAATAGCCTGACAAAAACTTAAATAAACCCACTCACTAGGGTCTACAAACTGTGCTTTAAAGCTTCTAACCAATGTCAAGTTGTAAGGACACTGAAGTTTGCATAAAATTGCATATATTTTCAATAGTAAAACAAATTGAATGATTTCAGCTGTCAGTTTATAAAGTCTAAAATTTATTCAACATGTATGACTTTAGTTGCCAACTGCATTCTTCATCTTCTTTCCTATTTTTAATGAGAAGGAATTATAAACAGATTTCTCACGAATTCTTAGGAGTGTTTTTGTCAACCAGAAGTATTTTTCAGCTCTTAAATTTTGAGTGCATGTTTAGGGAAACAAGTGACTTTCAAATACATTTTTTCTAGCTGTGGTACCAACAGCTAGAAAAAGAGGAAACATGAAATACGTTTGCTCTATGGACCCAGCAGTATTGTTATATTAAGAAATATTCTAGCCTAGCCGGAGTGGCTCGGTTGAGTGACGGGCATCCTGTGCACTGGAAGTTTGCTGGTTCGATTCCTGGTCATGGCAATGCCTCGGTTGCAGGTTTGAGCCCCAGTTGGGGTGTGTATGGAAGGCAACCTATTGATGTTTCTCTCTCACATTGATCTTTCTCGCTCTGCGCTCTCTCTCTCAGCATGTCCTCTGGTGAGGATTGAAAAAGAAAAAAAATTAATACCCTAATCTTTCCTGCAGTGAAAGCATCTCCGTGGCTGTCAGAACCACGCCGCTATGGTTTTGCTCTTGTTCTGACCTGTTCGGCTCTACCTGGTGTGTTCAGCTCTGACCATCACGCTCAGCTACAGGCCTCGGGCACGTGGCCTACGAACCTTCCATCTCTTTATGTGTGGGTAGGCAAGGTTATACAGTCAACAGCAAAATTACTCAATGTAGATTGAGCTGAAAACAGAAAATGTATTTTCCCAGCATTGCCTCGTAAAATTAAACATGAACTGACCTAAAATGGAGTATGAACTAAGAGACCTGATTTTAATTCCCTTTGCCATTTAAAACTTAGAAATCACTGGGAGGGTAAATTACTTTAGAATATCACTTTTCTTGGGAGAAACTGCACTAAAGAAGGGACCCAGATGAAATCAAATGTTGGTGGTATCACTGACTGGGAAGTCCGCCAAGTTCTAGATTTTTTTATTTATTTTTTTACATTCTGAAAGCTCCTCTTTGCTAATAGAAAGTACCCAAAGTCAGTGAGTTTTCTACTGTGGTTCTCTATAAAAGGAAATACTGGGCACTGCTAATAAGGACTTTTTCTAAAGACATAACAGTATATGTGGGTTTTCTTGGTACTATGATAAAATTTTATATTACAAATAGTAAAGAAATTTAAATAACCTAAGATATTAAAAATGATATTTCCAGGAACCTTTTGTTGCTGGAAGTATGTGCCATAGTAAGGTAGATGTGGGGTAAATAATCATATTAATTTCAGTGCTACTATGAACAAGAATCCATTACAAAGCAATATCCATGATATAGCAACTATTAGAATCTTAGAATCTGCAACCAACTGTCTTTTAAATGGCATGTTACAATGACGGGGTGAATGGAAAGTGATCCAGCCAATGCTGGCTACACCTCATGCAGCATCCAAAAGTCTTTTATGAAGGTACAATACAATGGCCTCACATCTATGAGTACAAATCTCCTCCTTGTCTGGGAACAGAGATTATCATATACTGTATCTATAATATTTATAATATATTTACCCATACTATAATATATATCATATATATTAATATTTAATATATATTCCCCCATATTAAAATACAGACATATAATTATTCAATTTAAGTTTATTAAACAAGCTTATCAAAAGATTGATAGATGAATCTGATGTCTACATGAATTATTTCATGCATACAACTTCTATTTTCTATAAAGTAGATTTTAAACTATTCTCCATGAAACTGTAAGGCTTCTGGAGGAAATATCTCAGAGTCTTCCTGAGGTTATGGGGCGAGGGCATACAGGTGCTTTCACACTGCATCCTTCCTCATTACCCAGACCAGAGGCTCTGTGGGGCTCTAGCTCATAAAATGACTATAAAGAATCATGAAAACCACCGGGTTCTGAAGTATTCTTTCTGTAAAGACATGTAGTCATTGACATGCAAAGAAAGAAGAATATGCTCTACTTCAAAGCAATTCTGAGGCCCTTGGAAGGGGCTGTCCTCAAACAATTCCACCACTGGTGTAACTTCTCAGTTTCTGGATTGAAAACAACTTGGGCAGCATGATAGAATTTGAGTTTCTAGTTTGGGGAAATTGGTGGCTCTTCTGAAACATGCCAGTCTAATTTTCTGTGATAAGATAATGACAATAAAATACACTCAAAAGAGAGGAACTTCTTAATGATGAGAAAACAGTGGGAAGGCATTATCTCCACAATATTTTCTTATTGATTTTTTTGTATAATAGAATTAATTTGTATTGTTAAACACAAACATACTATACTTAAAATCTACCTCAATCTTTCATTATTAACTGTTATTCCAAACCACAGCAACTGCACTGAGCAGGCATATAATTGATTCCATTAATAATCAAAACAGGCCTTGTTGAGTCATTTGTATTTAAACAAAGATTTGCTTTGTTAAGGTTCCTGGCAGTCCAATATATGCCAATAAAATCTAGTCTGCATTGTCTTTTGAGCAAAAGCGTAAAGTTAATTGATGCTTTTCTCTTGAATGATCACTAATATTGGTTTCAAAGATGCGTAGATTTTAATGACATAAAAAATAAGTATTTCCTGGAGTCACAATTTATCTTGATAAGCAACTTTTAGTAATCATTAGTTCCCAAAGTCTCAAAATGACAGCTTGCCCCTGGGTTGCTATGCAAATTATTTTCAAGAGGATAATATTAACATGTTACAGTACTGCCTGTCTAAGCAATGCAATTTTACTCATCAAACAGAAAAATTCCTATTCCAGCTTTTATGAAACATATTTCAAATTTTCTTCTAAAAATTCCATAAAAATAAGATGCATCAATGACTGAATGACCACCAGCAGTGCACAAGATAATACAGATTATTTTGATTCAGATTTCATTGATTAAAAAATACAATAGATTAAATACACACTTATGGTGACCTCTATAATTAGGCTCCGGTCTTATCAGCAAATACATCCTTCAAGGTCCATCCATGTTGTTGCAAATAGTAGGATTTCACATTTTTTATGGCTGGGTAGTATTCCAGTGTGTGTGTGTGTATCCGTGTGTACACATTTATGTCCATCAATGGACGAATGATAAAGAAGATGTGGTATGTATGTGTACACACATACACACACACATACACACCACATCTTTATCATTCATCCATTGATGGACACAGGTTGTTTTNTGAATGATAAAGATGTGGTGTGTGGTATGATATACACACCACATCTTTATCATTCATCCATTGATGGACACAGGTTGTTTTCATTTCTTGGATCAAGAGGGTATTATGCTAAGCGAAATAAGACAGATGGAAAAAGACAAATAGCTATGACTTCACTCACTCATATGTACAATATAAAGTCAAAAAGAAAAGACAAAACAAAAACAGACTTATAGGGGCACACAACAGATTTGTGGTTACCAGAGGGGTCGGGAGTGGAGGGAGGGCAAAACTAGTAAAGGTGCTCAATTGTATGGTGACAGATGGAAGCTAGACTTTTGGTGGTGAGCGTGATGTAGTACATGCAGCTGTTGACTTACAATGTCACATGCATGGAGCTCATATAGCTCTATAAACCAATTTACCTTAATTAAAAAAATTAAATATATCCTCAATGTATATTATTATGTATTTCATATTTTTAAATGGGCTTATAATAGGATGGGTGATTACTTATAGGTGTGGGCAAGAATGGGAATGGTTTGGAAGAGTAAACATTGTCTACGCATGACCCGCCCATTAACACACAATTTGAGAAGACTGGTCTGTATTCCTTTGTGCTCTCTCCACAGAAACTGGACAGAGAAGAACAAGTTTCCCGAACCTGATCTGCTACTTGGGTCACACAGGTATTCCTAACTCACTGCAGCTGCCTGAGG